GGAATGAGATTTGGTATGGGTTAAGTTGGTGTATTGTTATAAGTAAGCCTTCTGTGACATTACCCACTCCTCAGGAAGTTTGTTTAAAATGTTCAGCAGCCAAATTCACAATATTAAATAATTTATAGATGAAAAGCCAAGTCAGTAATCATGGTCAATGATGAATAAGTATGGTACGTTTTGCTTATAATGTATATACTAATATTTTTTATTGCATTTACACAATTGCACACTTTTCGCTTAGCATTGAATGTGTTGTTTTCCACAATATTGGACTTGTATGAGGTTGAATGGCTGTTTGAATATCTGCTCTGTGATTCCTGCTATGCACCTCTGTGCATGGATCTGTAATGACAGACAGCTTCACGCTCAGATTAAATATGGTATTATTTATTTTTTATTTATATTATTTTATATATAGATTATAAATACTTTAGACAAGATGACAGTCCACACATAGTTTATACAGGTTTTGTTAAAATGTTAAATGCACATGAAAACGCAAAAAGAATAACCATATTGCAATCAAGGTGCATTAAACTGTACATGATATTTAGACATAGAACATTTTACTACAAGATAAAATGCAACATTCATGTCACTCCAGTAGGCCTCCCTTCTTAGATTATTCATGTGTCCTGTTGCCTTAGGACTTAAACCTTCTCTGTACTAGAGTAATTATGCTTCTCCATACAGGTGGAGTTTTATCATTGTTGACCCTCATTATACACCTCCCATGCTTCTGTTTTTTCAATAGGACGTTGCTTGAAGATATTCAACCATGTACTGTAAAATGAGCTTGGGTTTATATTAACAATGCAAGGGCAACTTTTCCAATGACTTATTAGAGTAATACACCCTAAAAAAACGTGCGTTTAAGAGATGACATGTTCTCCTGGTCTCAATGGGCTTGACTCACCTGACCTGACCACCAAGGTGTGGCACACAGTCTATGACTATTTAGTCATAGACTGTGTCCTGGCCAAGACAAACAGCAAAAAAAAAAAAAGTTTTTACCACAGCACAATGTTGGAGGTTGCTCTCAAGTGCGATCCACAGCAAAGTATCAACTTACAACATTATATAATACGCTAATAAAACGCTGTTCTAATTGGCATTAGAAAATAGCAAGTATTGCTACTATTACTACTTTCAACTCCTCTGCCTCTTTAATTACTCTTTCTTTTCTCTGCAGGCCCTCTTGCCAAGTTTCAGTAGAGTAAACTCCCATCTCAAGGTTGGTTCTCACAGAGAAAATGAGCTTGTGAACATTCCACTACATGCACTGACTAGCAAGCCTGAAATGTCACCAGTCATATCAAGTGAGATAAAATACAATCCTGTACCAGATGTGTGGGTGCCACTGCCTTGGAATGGTGAACAGCTTTTTGGTTTAAAGTAATGATATTTATTGTCATGACTATCAGTTTTTATGAAAAGGTTAAAAATGTAAAAGGGTGGGGCCCTCATTGACACTCATTGTCTTTGCAGTAGTCCTCACATAGGAGGAGCAGTAGAAATGACGCATAAATGTTTTATATCTTTTTCTATACAGTTTTCTATCCATTACCACACTTATACAGTTAAGTTATGGACACATACATCTTTAGTTTCACAGAGCAGAATTCTAGGAGAACAGTATTAACATGACAGTGGTTCAAGACTTCTGTGAGGTAGCCATGAGATCAGTTATTTCCATTTTTAGCAGAAAGTTCAGCTGTCTGCTGTACTGTAGGTTTGTGGTTTGGAAGGAGGTGTTTATAGTTAGTGGTGGAGGAAGTTAGGCATCCTTAACTTAAAGAACTAGTGTGTAAGATTCAATGGCTTCTAGCGGTGTAGTTGCTCATTGTAATATTATATTGCATTTCTGCCATTAGATCATGTTAAATGTTACACACTGGACAATAAAATCAGTGTAAAAATGCTCTATTACAAGTACAAGTATAATTTAAAAAAGAATACTTCACAAAGAAAATGATTACAAATAAAGTAAAATAACTGTAAGGAAAATTAGCAAATCTTAAATCATAAAATCTGGAACTATAAAACATTTTTGCACAAAATATTCACTGACACTCACTGAAATACTTGGAAATTAAAATTTTCAACCCTGGAGTGTTATTGGTGGATATGAAAAGACATATTTTCTTTTTTGGCATTTTTAAAAAGTTTCAGTTTTTTTAAAGGCTGCAAATCAAGTCCCAATGAAATGTCCTAAGGTTAAGGCTGGCAACAACAAAGTCTGTGGCAACAGCAGGCCCTCCTCTTCATACAGAAGGACGAGGCCAGGAACAGGCCTGCTTGTGCCCAAAAGAAATACCTGCCTCAAATCTATTTATACTACTATGAAAAAAAAGAATGTGTATAAATAGCCAGAAAGCAATTCTTCAAAAGTTTATTGAAAAGGCAGTAACAGTGGGAAAGTGTATATTAGTAATTCAACCTAAAAAAAACACCAAAATATGCCATAGAAGTGTAATAAAAACTGTCATAAGGAAGTCACCACATATTGTTCCTCTCTCGATAAAGGGTTAAAATAGTTCCTAATTCATTCAGTATTCATTCATCAGATCTGTCAATCAATTGATAATTTCAGCAAAACTTGCATGAACTGTTGGGTAGTTTAATCTAGAACAAAGCATCATAATTCGTCTTGTGTTTTGCTTGTAAAAACATTTTTTTAAGTAAGAAACGAAATGTATTGGAGTAAAAAGCACAATATTTCCCTCTGAAATGTTGTGGAGTAGAACTATAAAGTTGCATAAGAAGAAAATACTCAAGTAAATTTGTACTTAAGTACTGTACTTGAGGTTATGTACTGCAAATCCCTGTACATTCATCTGCACCAGATGTGGTCTTCATCGTCCTCTACTTGCCATCCCCCCTTAAGCATGACTGGATTTTAATTGGAATGCACCCCAAAAATTGAAATACTAATAGCAAAGCATGCTATGTGCTTCACAGTTGCATGCATGCATTTAATGCATGTGAAGTAGTGGTGGTAGTAGTAGTGTTGCACAATTAGTACTGAATCCTGAAACAAACCAGGCCTGCCAAGTCTCAGTGTGCTGAGCAGCAACCGACACGTGCAGCCTGCCACGACTGTCTCACTCGTCACTGTGATGGTGGAACGTAATAGCTGCTGATTGTGTTTGGTCTGCCCTAGGTCAATGCTTTGCCCTGTGGCCTGAGACCAGTTGGTGTTCACCTACCAGGCCAACCAGGTTTCAATGAATACATGGTGACAATCTTTCCCAAACCATAATCACGTGGATTTAGTTGCCTAACCATACATTAAGGTTTAGTTGATGTATATTTAGGGAAACTACTGCAAATAAACCTAAAAACTGTTAAAAGTGAACACTTTGCAGATATGAATATACTTTATAGTGCTTTGTTTCCCCCAAAACATGTTTAATTAATGCAAAGATGCTTGAACATATAGTATGTTGCAGTATGTAGTTCTTAGACGAAAGAATATTAGAAGTGAGAGTGAAGCACTGGCATTTTTTTTAGGTGTGGCTCAGTTTTGCCCTACAGCTCATTTAGATGCTACTACCGTACAGAGAGTGGGAGGCCAACACCTAAACCAGAGCTGTTGAGATGTGTTTCAACAGGTATCAACAGTTCCAATTATGAGCACAAATCTTAAATCTACATGTAACGCCGGATGTTCTTTTACTTAATGCAATAGAGATCCAAGGTGTAAATTACCTTTTTAAAGTTTAAACATTTAAAATAGTGCAGTAAATATTCATAACGTGTAAGTACATTTAAGTAGTGACACTGAACCTAGCGATCTACTGAAGGGCCTAGAGGTGTGTGAGTATTAAAGATAGTATGTACAGTGCCCTCAAGCACCTACAAGCTGCAGGCCTGAACACATAAACAACAAGGTGGTGGAATTAAATAAATAACTCTGGAATTCCAGACTCATTTCTGAGTGTTTACTTATTTATCCTTCCTGCATTACAGTATGGTCAAAGGGTCAATTTACCCAAATGAAAAATTATATTTTTTCACTCATCCCTGCTTGTGTTTAGCCATGCAGCTTTTAATGTATCTGTCTCTGAGATTTCTGCCTCCACCCCAATACAGTAGAAATGCTCACAGTAGTAAAAAAGTTTATGACATATGTAAATAAAACAGCAACATTGTGTTCTTGTTAATCTACATCACCCCTGACAGTGTGGTGTGTGTTTTTTTAATCCCAGATATCAATCTTATTAAATTTAACTCATGATTATATGTTTTATTGTAGTTGGCTGTTTTATTTTGTTGAATTCTGTGATTGCAGAATCACAAAACGGATTGAAAACTGGAGATAAAGTATGCAGTGTTTGTGCGTCGCCCTATATATCCTAAATAAGGATCAGAGAACATGGTCTTTAAATGGTCACTGTATGGCAAAATTCTACCAGAATTTGAGCAGTTGTTAATTCAATGCAAACGTGAAAGTCTTCATGCACAAATGCATACATACAATGTACTAACATGCATACATTCATATGTAAGATCAACTTTAAAAACAGCTGGTCAGAATGTGTTTTGCAAATCCTAGTCAGATTTCACCTATTTAAATGCTAGCAGTAGCTCTAAATATTCGTATTTTATCTATCTTGCAAGAAGATGAAAAGCAGAAAACAGTGGATCGGTGAGTATGTAGGGCTTCTCTCCACCTTCCAATTCCTCCAACCACCCACATCTCCCAGAAAGCCCTCAGCTAATCAAGTAAAAATGTCCTTTTCCCCCTTTCACTCCAGGCTCTGATGCCATTCCTCTGCGAGCACCTGGGTGTGTCAAGCCCCGATCACTTTACAGGGGTGGCACTCCTACCTGTCTGACAGGCTGAGCTGCTCCAAGCCAATCTGCCTGCCTGCAAGTGCACCTTCCAGGATACAGGTAATTGGAGGAGGGTAGAGTGGGAGGTGCAGTTGAGGTGGAGCTCACTGGGACCTCCTCCACAGTTGGAAACAGATAAAAATCCATCACGGACAGAGAGAAGACACTTAGAGGGACTTGACTCTCCTCTTAGTGTGCTCTGCCAAACCTCTCTCTCTCTGCTCCCCCTTTTCTCTGTTAATCCTTTCCTTTCAGAGGAAACAAAACCAGCCATGACGTCGTCCAGATCTAGTATGACCGTGAAAACGGTTAGGTCCAGCTTTGGTGGAAGCGGTGGTGGAGGTGGCGGCTTCAGTGGTGGTAGTTTCAGCGGTGGTATCAGGAGTGGAGGAGGAGGAGGAGCAAGACAATTTTCCTCAAGATCGGCCGTTATATCATCAAAACCGGCATACTCAGTGTCATCCAGTTTTGGAGGCGGCTCAATGCTTAGGTCAGGTGGTGGAGGTGGTGGTGGTTATGGCTTCGGTGGAGGTGCTGGGGGGGGGGGGGGGGGTAGTTATGGTTTCGGTGGAGGTGCTGGGTGTGGTGGTGGTGGTGGTGGTTTCGGTGGTGGTTTCGGTGGTGGTTTCGGCGGTGGTCTTGGCGGTGGTCTTGGCTTCGGTGGTGGTGGCGGCGGAATGGCTCCGATCACAAACGTCCAAGTCAACCAGACCCTGCTGGCCCCCTTGAACCTTGAGATCGACCCTGCCATCCAGACTGTTCGTACCCAAGAGAAAGAGCAGATCAAGACTCTAAACAACCGCTTCGCCAGCTTCATTGACAAGGTGAGTAGCCTTTTTCTGTCAGTGACTGAAACAGACACTGTCCCACACCATTTAATAAGAATGAACTGTTAAAATACGTAATGGTTTTGATATGTTAACCCTGAAGTAGTGATGATGATTTAGATGCACTGCACCTGTGGAGTATATTGGTTTGTGCAAGAAGCGTGACTAGCTGCAACAAAAAAAGGTGCAAAGGCCACCTGAGCTCATTAAATATTACACAGCAACTGATCCAAACCTGAATGATGTGCACACACAGGGCGCAGCTAGAGATAACTCTAATACTACCAAGTGCACTATTAGTAGTATGAATATAATTTAGTCGACTGAAACTGCAGCGAGGGTACCTGTCATCTTAAACAGTGTTCACGTCAGCTAGCCTCTACATTGAAACTGAAAGCCGACCATTACTCCTTTAACTTCTCTTTGAATAAGCTGTAAATGACAACTTGCCAGCTGTCTCTGTGTAGAGTGAGAGGCAGGAAACATTAGAGTGGTCGTATCCAGTGACTGGTGGCTCTCAATATAAGGGGAGGAAAGTATCAGGTTATCACCTACTGCCATGGCAGCAAGGACTCACAAGCTAAGTGGTGCTGCAGAAAGTGGACCCCATCTTAACTCTTTGCAATGCATTGTACAATACTTGCAAAGTTCAAGTGGATGTTTCAAACATTTCTGCATTGCTATTTATTCCGTATGATTAAGGACAGGTTTTTTTAATTCACCCATATACACCTTTATGTAAAACTGAAGACCTTGAAATGAGGATGAGGGGCCTTTTGTCCCAGGCAGAAATGAATAACAGGTTAATGGCACCCTGCAAGAGAAAATGCTCAGTTAGCTTTTTCTGCATTGTGTGCATATTGCACACTGGTGATCTGATCCTGTTCATTCACGGTCGACTTCCAATGATTAAATGATTCAAATTAAACATTGTTCAATGATGCATTCACACTATTGCAAGTAGTGGTATAAGGAGAGTATGAATTATGTGTGTATTGTGAATTTTAAGTTGATATTTCTGTGAAATAGAATTACACAAATGGCATATCTGAAGTATCTGTACTCAGTCAATGTGACAGTTCATAGCTTTGGGCGTGTAGCATTAATTACTAAGGGTTGAGCCAGGCAAGTTCACTCAGTGAAAGTATGCATCCTGGAAGCAAGGGAGTGGTCAGGCAAGGGGAGGGGCAAGGCTGAGGCGTGGCACTGGCCTCACCTAAAAAGAAAAAGGAGAGAAAAAAGGCTAATATGCACAGTCAAAATGGAGGAACAGGCTCCACCTTCTGTAGGGTTCAACAGCAGATGGCACGGCACTGTACACTGTGCTTGGCATGAGTCCTCTGTTTCCTAGGAACAGGCTTTGAAACATGTTTTTCGGGATCATGTCAGATGCTCTCAAACAATGTCATTAGATTACAGCACAGTTCAATTCAATTCAATTCAATTCAATTTTATTTGTATAAAACCAATTCATAACAGAAGTTACCTCAGGACACTTTTCAAAATGAACTCTTTATAACATTATTTACAGAGACCCAACAGTTCCCACCATGAGCAAACACTTGGCCATACCATAAAACCATACTATGCAGGGAGACTGCACTGGATTGTCATCCCTGCCCTCTAGGAGCATTTGAACACAGCAGCTGCCAATATTGGTGCAAGAGCTTTTTGTGTGGGAAAGTCACACACAGGTGTGGCTTGATGGTTCATCCTAGGAAAGTAAAACAAAGAAGACAAACATCTTTGTTACCTCAGAGCAGGCAGGCCTAATCATGAAGAAAAAGGACAGAAAATATAATCTACATATTTGTAGACTGGTGAAAGTAGTAAAGCCCACAAACTTATAGATATGGATAATTCAAGTATATTAAGTCGTTCTATTTATGCAGAGTTACATCATTTGAGTAATGTGGCTTTGTATTCATATTCATAGTAATACCTTTCCCCTAGTACCAGTGGATCTAAACTTGGCAAATGATTTTGCCTTTCAGGTCCGCTTCCTGGAGCAGCAGAACAAAATGCTGGAGACCAAGTGGAGCCTGCTGCAGGACCAGACCACCACCCGCTCCAACATCGACGGCATGTTCGAGGCCTACATCGCCAACCTGCGCAGACAGCTGGATGGGCTTGGCAATGAGAAGATCAAGCTGGAGGGAGAGCTGAGGAATATGCAGGGACTGGTGGAGGACTTCAAGAACAAGTGAGTTCACACCAGCACAGGAAACAGGAAACCAAGCACGCAGCAGCTGACCTACAGTTGTTGAAGCCCATGCTCGTTTTCCATCAGCTAATTTTTCTACTCTTTGTGTCAGATATGAAGATGAAATCAACAAGCGCGCTAGTGTGGAGAATGAGTTTGTGCTCCTCAAGAAGGTGAGAGTGGATCTGCGGTTACCACCATGTCATTAGCAACAGTGGAATTAATTATTGCTCTCCCTCTAACCCATCACCAATGCATAACACTTCCTTCTTCTCTTCTTACAGGATGTAGATGGCGCATACATGAACAAGGTTGAGCTGGAGGCCAAGGTTGACGCCCTTCAGGATGAGATTAACTTCCTCAGAGCTGTCTATGAGGCGGTAAGATAAATGGGAAACACTTCTTCAGTTACACATTACACATTAAAGGGGTCAATAAATGCCACTGGCAGGACAGATAACAAACAGAAGTAGATATTGGACTACCTTTACTCTCCAGCTCTTTCAATTTTATTTTAAAAAATGACATATATGTTTTGTGCAGGAACTGCGTGAGCTGCAGGGACAGATCAAGGACACCTCAGTCATTGTGGAGATGGACAACAGCCGCAACCTGGACATGGACTCCATTGTGGCAGAAGTCAAGGCTCAGTATGAGGAGATCGCCAACCGCAACCGTGCAGATGCAGAGTCGTGGTATCAGCAGAAGGTTGGTACAGAGAGAAAGTATTCTCACCACAACTCTAATACGAAACACACAAATGGACAGGACAGTTTCTGCAATCTGTACTGAATCTGTTATTTTGAATCTTATTCCTTCAGTTCCAGGAGATCCAGAGCACTGCAGGCCAAGCTGGAGATGAACTTCGCAACACCAAGAATGAGATTGCTGAGCTCAACCGCATGATCAGCCGCCTCCAGAATGAGATTGAGGCAGTCAAGGGACAGGTAAGTTCACAGTTACAGCTTAATACTTATAAAGTATAAAAAGCGGAAGGTGAACATTCAGAAGGCATTTTGACTGAGAACTATCACATCTGAAGCTTCTGCTAACTTTTCAACCTCCCAGCGTGGCAACCTGGTCTCTCCTCCAGCAGTTCCTGCCGCAGTGGGACGTTCGGGGGCGCTTCTTCAATATGCTCCAGAGCCAGTTTTGACGTTCATGAGCACTCCGGTACTCGCAGACCCTGGCGGGCCATGTCCTGTTTGGCCTCTCTGCAGGGGGCGTTTTCCAGGTCACCTAATTGCGGGACCTTGGCATCCTTCCAACTGCCATCTCACCACGCTCCTCAGCCTCAGCGATCTGGGCCT